AAATAGGAATACGAAGACAATATCTCTCTCTCTCTCTCTCTCTCTCTCTCTCTCTCTCTCTCTCTCTCTCTCTTTCTTCAGACAAACGCTCTCAGTAGACATGTTTAATTCGATTCCATTAAAAACAGTAGCGTATAGTAAATCGGTGAGGAGTGTTATTAGGAAGGGCAGGGATTAAGATCGAGCCGGCAAATTTTCCGACTTCCAAACTATTCTCTCTCACGAGATTCGTTCTCTGCGACGAATCTGCCAATCTCGTGCGTGTTCTTCCATTCCACTTTTCCGACGCGTAACTCAATTTTCGTATCTACGTTATTCTTCGCCAATCTGGAAACTCTCGTTACACCTACCACTACATACTACATAGAGCTTGCCCGCTCTCGATCCCTCGATTTTCCAATCCTAATCGTTCCAACCATTCACACGGTATCCCCGATAGAAGATTTTCTCAAACGCGCGTTCCTTCGCTCGTCGTTCCAGACTCGCGGAGGCCGAGTTTCGCCAAATTGATTCGCGGCGAAGAGGAGGGCGAAATTTTCACGGAAGGGAAGAAAATAGGCGGCGCGTGAGAATCGGAGGATATAATGTGCGGTTTCGCGGATCGGATATATTCTCGAGCGCCTGCGTAACGTCAGCCACGCGTACATATATATATAGGAGGTTGCCGCTCGAGGCGTCACATTGCGTCCTCGAGTACGTCCTTCGTCTTCCTGGGACAAGCGACGCGCAGGATATCTTTCGATATATAATCGTCATATCGACGCGCTCCTTTTTCAATTTCCACGGGAGGGAATCGTGCCAGGACTCTCTCTCTCTCTCACTCTCACACGCACTCGCGCTCGATCTTATTCGCACGTTTACCGCGAGGATCGCCGCGATTTCGATCCTCGGCCAAGATCCTCACCACGCGGGAGGAAGGAAATATCCTTGATTCGGATGCGATAATTCGCTTTCGTAATAAAAATAATCGTATATTTGCCGTGGAAGGAAATGGGCAAGGTAGTGATTCCATGGTTGATGGTGGCGATAGTGCCCATGATCGCTGCGGCCATCGAGCAGCGTGCTCTCGGCAAGAGGAACGCCAATCTCGATTATCCCGACTATTCGACCAAGTACGACGAGTATCCGGTGAGTAAGCAACATTCACCAATGCGCTTCTCGCGTCCACGCGTACGCGTTTACCGAAGATATGCCAGTTTGACGAACTCGTGCGAGGAATCTGGACTCGATTTCAATCTCGATCTAAAAAAAAAAAAATACATTAATTCTCTCGTAATAAAACGAAAGATTGTGGTGTGGATTCAATCCGGTGTTGACTACTCGAGTTTCTCCGTTGCATTAACTTTTTCTTCTTCTTTCTTTATTGTTTTACCATATATTTTTTTTTTTTTTATTCGCTTCGTAACGTTGAATCGAATCCATATCGACTTGCAATAATCGAGATCTTAACAATCTTCGAATCTTCTTATTTCTTGCATCCATTTCCACTCGATGGTGATCAGCCGGTTTCTCGATCCGTCGCGAAAGTTTCGAGCGTGCGACGGGAAGTCGCGCTCGAACACACTTCGACACTTATCGATCTAAAATATAACGGCTTCCCCCCCTCCCCCTCCCTGTTTAAGAGCGAAATAAATGATGGCGATCGATAATTCAAAAGTTGGGATGAAAGGAAAAATTACGAAAGATCGCGATGCGACACAAGTTTCGTCGCAAACGTTTCGAAAAGTTCAACAAGGGAGAACTCGACATCTTGGATTTGTTGTTCCTCCCCCACCCTCCCCTCTCGATTAACTCGATAAATATCGAAAGTTGCACAATCGAATGAGAAAGAAAAAAAGAAATTTTATTAAATGTGAAATCGATTCATTGACATTGCTCGTTCGAAATTGTTTAACATCTCGTGAATGGAGGATTGTTTCGACTTCTCGTCGATCCATTCAAACAGTTTCATACCGGAATGTTGATTTCGATGAATCACTTCATCCAACAACAATCCATAAATTCGTTTAATTTGAATCGACAAGTTGATCCTTTAAGCAGGGAGAGGCAATGACTTTTTTTCCATCGTTTTTATTGACGATGATTTAATCAAAGGATAAAGAAGTCTAGAAAATTATTTATATAAGAATAGAAAGGAAAAAAATAATATATATTGTGTGTACACGTATATACATCTATTCCAACGAGGACCACCTCCCTATTCTTCTTCGTTAAGGAGTTAATAAGGTTTACGTCTCTCCCTTACGTCCCTCTGATGTATGACACGGATAAAAAGTAATCGTTTCGTTCGTGATTAAATCGACCGAGGACGAATTTCATTTCGTTTCGTTTCGTTTCGTTCTTTTTTATCGACCGATTAAATTTTTCAATTAAACGGCGCTCCCCCTATGCGCGAGTTCGATTCAACGTTTTAATTAACCGCGAGAAGGAAGAAGGTATCGTGGAACTTCCGCT